TAATATTAAGCAAACTTTAACTTTATAAGATCGTATGAAAACTATGAATAAAAAAGTAACGTAAAATTAAAAATTGCATGGTACAGTACTGTAGTAGACTGTACTCTGACTCTTCTAAGATTTCAAAAAGCTATCGATTGTGCTTTGGCGTGATTGTTTATTGAGTGCGTTTTCTGCTACTTTATTGCTTAAACTTGAAAACTCACTAGCAATCGTAGTCAGCCCACGCTGAACAAGAAAGTTCAATACAGAATTGTACTGTATCTGGTTATTTTTCAATAAACCACTTGAAATTATGAATGTACTGCAGTATTTAATTACAGGATATGTTCATTATAACGAGAGTTAAACAACGAAAACGTGCGATTAGGACCACACGAAGTGTCCGTAATTCCGTCTAGCGAGAGTCCGTAATAACGGGAGTTATTTTCAGTTATTTCTTTGTATTTTTCGCCGGGGATTTATTCCCTGTCCGTAATATCGAGGTGTCCGTAATAGCGGGGTGTCCGTAAGGCGAGAGTTGACTGTAGTGTGGACGCGAAACATTTTCTCCGTTTTCATGTGTGGACGGAAAACTTTTTTTTCGGTTTTGGTGTGAAAGTTGCGGATTCAAATTTATCCGGCATAGTGTGGACGGGGCCTAAATGTGCAAATGTCTTTTTTCGGTGGACAACGTTAATGACATTGACTCTATACAACTCGAATATCATTATATATTTTCTCTTTTTCTCTTTCTCAGCATAGCTCGATTGATAGCTACCGCAATATAAATTCGATCATTGAGAAATAGTACTCCTTTCGCTGTACGTGTGTGGTTACTTTTTCTGGGGTGGGGGGGACGGAATCCTTCAAACGGGCTAAATTCAAAAATAGCAGAACCGAAAACAAAAGCAGAACAAAAAAAAGGAATAATGGGTGAGTGATTCTTWAAAATGTTACAATATGCAGATAGAAAGTGGTCTTAATTTAATCAAAAAACATTTACATGCAATTTTAAAGCAAGAGGAGATGGATGATCGGACCTCAAGCTTTTATGTGGGGGTGCACGTGCACCCTGTGCTCCCCTCTGGTTACGGCCCTGACTGGTTCTGATGTAGACTGATTCCATAAGTCATAGTTTTTGCTTCTTGGATCGAATTATGGAATCAGTCTAGTACTGATGGCTAACCGTGCTTTTTCTTCTCTGGGGAGAAAAAAAAGTGGCTTGGGTGCTTCTACCTTAAAGTGCCCCTCACCCCTAACTCAATATTTTCAGTATTGATTCTACTTGAAGTGAAGAGTTGAATGGTGAAATATCTTTATATGATTTGAGTGATGCTTCTTGGAAATATCAAGGTTAAAACTTCCAGTATACTAATGAGTATGATTTCACAGGAGGCATTTGGGTTTATTTGTCATCATTTTAAAATCAAAACACTGATTACGATGAGGAAACAAATTTGCAATAATCTTTCTATAAACCACGAGTAAGATAATTATGTTTTATATAGAATGTTTTACTGCCCCAGTAAATTTTTGGATGCAGAAAATTAGTAATGTGGCATATATGGTTACAGACAGATAAAATTATTAGCAATAATTACTAATAATTAGCCCTCAAGAATGGGCTATGAGTCAACGAACCATGAGGGCAAGAGGTCTAATCATCTTAGTCAAATCCAACTAGTTGGTCAAATATACAGATGCCAACAAGTTTTGAATTAAAGTTAAATTTCAAAGCCAGCACTTTTTGCAACTAGTAGCTAGCCTAGTAGTAGCTCATCTAATCAGAACCCACCATTGACAATAGACCACTAATTGGATTTTACTAAGACTAATACATGGTATATAGTGCTCAGCATCATACATTTATCAGAATTTTTTTTTCTAATGTTGTGCGCTTATTGTCTTGCCTYGTGTTAGTTGCGTTATTGGGGTAGGGAGGGAGGTTTAAAAGATAACTCATTCAGGTTATCCAGATCTTTAGAGTTGGCAACTATTGGGGAATAAAAACTTGGTTGTGTAAAAGAAGAAAGAAAGGAGTGGGAGGGAAGAAGGGAATGTTAAATTATAAAATTTTTAAATAGAAATATTGAAACAAGTTGTGAAGATTGAAATATTTATTGTATTTACAGAAAATATTTGAAGTTTCCAGAAAAATAAAATACAAAATACATATTTGGCTATATACATTCATATTTCTAATTTTTTTAGGTTTACCTAGTATCATCTTGAGTACATTCTGTGTCTGCAACGATAGCATTTTTTAAGCCGTGAACTGCATTAATGATTTCCGCAAGTTTAGGATTAGCAGTCAGGCTTCGACGAGAGACTGAACTCTTACAAAGAGGACAGAACCACTTGTTGGTAGATTTCTTGCCGCATCTTTGGATGAAATTGTTTATACATTCCCTAAGCGAATGGATGAGTGAATGCATGAAATAATTAGTGTCAAAAGAATATTAGATATTAAAAGAATAAAAAATATACTCATTGTACTTTTGTTTTTGTATATTTCAATGTCCAAAAACTCACCAACAAAACTGATGGTTGCATTTTGTAGAATAGGGATTACTCAGCATTTCCAAGCTGCAAGTTAAGAAAATCAATTAGGAACCCTTTAAAATAGGTATAACACTTTTTAAGGACGTTCGCAGGCATTGTTCGGTTTAGTGCACAGGTGCTCATTGTGATGACATTGTAAGAAAGTTTTGATGGGCAAAATATCAAGAAAACCCAATTTTTACTTTTTTACTGCTAAATGTCTCGGAAACCAATTCGGTGACCAATTTGAATGAGAATATGTTGGGGTATGTTTATGCCAAGTTAAAAAAATTCTGATTGCAACTTCATTTCCCTGCAAACATCCTTAAAACCAGACACTGGACAATGTTTAAAGACATAATTTTTTGGGGGGGACTATATTTTTTAAATTGTCTTTTGTTAGGCCACATTTACAAACCTCCCAGAACTGCAGAATAGTATTTTATGACATAAATATAAGTAACAAAAGCTATTTGGTAGCCCAACCTCCCCTTCCCCAAAGCTAAAAAACCTTGAAAATGTCCTCAACTCTTAAATTATGAGCAGCCCATTTTGTTACTTTTCCTAGACATGGGGGGGGGGGGGGGGGGGGGGTGAGCAATAAGACACCTTCTGCTTTGCCCCATAATGAACTTGGACAAGAAGATGTTAGGTACACTGTATTCCTTATGGTCTGGGCTAGAAAGTATATCTTTCACGATATCTGATATGTTCTAGTTGTAGAAGAAATATGCATCCCTGCTTCAGAATATAACAATGATAGCCCATTCACTATTTTATTTGGCAATATTGCAGCAAGTATTGTACTTCTTATCCTGGTGGAGATATTAATGGAGATGATCCCTTACACTAGTGACTATCCCCTTTAACCCAGCATGCCTTCACCTTCAAGATTGAATGAATAATTGATAATTTCATTCACTGTTTTCTGGCAAGGGGTTCACCTTTTCCTTTCTTCCCATGGACCAATGCCTTTATTAAATTTTTTGGGTTTCATTAGAAATATGAGAAGAACTATAAGGTCCCAGACTTGGCATCTCATGTGAGCACAGTTCGTTAGCTCTCTCTCTCTCGATTTGAGAGTTTAATTTTTTTTCAATTCGAGTTTTCCTTTCTCCACAAAACCTAACGGTAAAGCCCAATGTAGATCCGTGAGTTGGCCAATGATGCCCTGACTTTGTTCAGTCCAGAGGTTAATAAAAGTGAAATAATATTGAATCAAAATATTGAATTGAAGCATACTAACCATATAGAGCATTCTAGATGCTTCTGTATTTCCATTACAGATTTATTAATGCTATTTACGTCTTGTTTAGTCTTCTCTATACTCATTATATTGCCGAAGTATTTCAGCTTTTTCAGCTTTCTGTTTCAAATATGGCGGCAAATACAAGACAGCCTCGTCCCCACGTGCAAAGGAAGCCCATCAAAACTGTTAGTGACAATTCTGAATCATTAAATGAATAAGAAAGAACGACTACGAAAGTAAATTCAGGTTAATTATGATAATTTTTGTTTTCTTTAGTCTTTTYCCCCTTTTTTTAAATCCTGCTTTTTGGAACTATAATGAAGGTAAGGTTTGTGTTACCTGTGGTCGGAATGAGCTTCCCCCCCCCCTCTCCCCCTTGCCCTCCTCTAGTAGTAACCATGACAATAGACGCTAGAGAAGAAGTAAAACCAGTACATTGGAATGCGTTTAATTAGAAAATCCACCAAGAAAAATAAGATATATTAACCTGGAATAAGTTTTAGGTTTATTTTCTAACGATCAAGGACGGCTTTAGATGAAGAAAACTTCACCTCGAGCGGATTTTAGCCGCGAGAAGAACGTTCGATCCAAAGGCGTCCAGAACACAAATGAACTGGTTGGTTCGAGCGAGAGCAAAAGAATCAGACAAGCAGCTCTCAAAGCTTTATCGTATAGCAAAGAGAAGTGCTTTCAAACGGATAAATACAAAACTAGAAACAGTTCCTGGACGCCTGTTGTCAATCCTTATTGTAATAATGAGGTGAGTTACGAGTAATGATAAGAACAATGGACACTTCTCACGAGAACAGTAAGCTTACTTCGAGCTCATTAGCACTGACTTACAAAGTATTAACTATCAACCTTAAATATCCTTTTATCTTTTTCTCTAGCTTTATCAGGGAAGAGTTGACTTAATATGCCACTGGGTAAGTATTTTATTTTAAATAGCTTGGCTATATTTTTGAAAATAAGTTTTTGTTTATATTGTAAGCTTACRTGATTGTGTCGTGTTTGTTTTCATTTTGAATAAAATATCGCAAAAGCACTAAGGGACCATTCGTTTTTTTGCCAAATTCAATCCAAAATAAAGGTAACTTGAATTATTCTGYGTGGCACCCCCTCTTGAGGCTGATTTTTCGGATGAACCCAAAAAAAAATCCCAAAAGTCCCAGAGTAACCCATGTCCTGATCCCCTCTCTCAAAACCAAATTTTTTCATTTGCTTGCAATTCAGACAACCAGAAATGACAAAAACTAACTAAAAAACTAAAACTAAAAACTAACTAAAGGTGCTTCTCTTTTCTTTCAGTTTTCCATGTGGACAGATGCACAAAGAAAGAACTTTCTAAAAACTATTTTAAAAAGAAGCACAAAACTGCAGCTCAAATTTGTAAAGGAATTATTTTTCAGTGCTCCTCTCCCCATTTTGAAAGCAGACTTCACCACTGTTCTTCCTCGCTTTATTTCTATGTACATTTTTTCCTTTCTCGACCCAAGAAGTCTTTCACGTGCTGCTCAGGTTTCTTGGCATTGGAAGTTCATAAGTGAACAAGATGACATTTGGATGTTAAAGTGCTTGAGATTTGGATGGTTTTTGCCATATAAGCCAGGTTCAAGGGAATATGGATCATGGAAACATCACTATATTACATGCACGAGCACTTTGGATAAAGAAGATCCATCTCTTTCCAGAAGGGTGAGATTACTAGATATACTGATTAATACAAGGTCTTAGAGCACCAAAAGGTGGACCTTACAATTTAGGACACAGGGGGGGGGGGGGTTACATTCTATTGATAGCCTCCCTAATTACTAAAATGCTAGTGTAGCAAGGTTTTGTTGTTGTTATTGTTCTGATTCCTTGAACTAGGTCAGGATGGGGGCTGATACATCATTATTCTCTTGACAATCCCACAAAAAGAGAAAACAATGAGTGATGCCATATAATAATTGTGTTTGCTTAATTAAATCATGAATTGAATTTTAGAATGGGATGGGGGCTGTTCCCTCTTTCCTATGTCTCTGGGTAACATATAAAATTTGTAGTCTAGTGGCCCCCACCCCTCCCCATCTGGGATTTTTAAAAAATGACAAAGACGAATCAGGAAAGGTCAAACCCTCTTTYCTATGTTTTCAGCTCCAGGTTTTTTACGATTGCTTTTTTTAAATCTAAATATTATGAGACACAGGAAGCCCAATCCAAGATCCCATTACCATGAGCTTTAGCCTGACTTGCTAACCTTTTTGAAATTTCCTGTGTTAATATCTTTATTGTCACTATCCCTGAGCAACATTCAACTCGAAAGTAGAGTATTATCCATATCCCCTAGTAAAAATGAACCTTTACTAATTCATGCATTAGGGACCTGGAAAGAGGGAGGGTGCAATGAGGGATAAACTTTCCCATTTCTCCCATAAATCATGCAATCATGTATACATTCTATAAGCAAAATGAATTTGAGAAAAATGTATTGCATAGACCTTTTTAGCTTCGTATGCAAATTGCCCGTTTCAGATCACATGACATTCCCTTGAGAATGGTAGCCTTAATGGAGAACATGTTAAGATATTTACACATGAAAGAATCAACTCCCAAGAGTGGCATCACGTGGTCTGAAATGTGGACAACAAACAACGAAGCTAAAAATGTTTATTATACATCATCAAAGCTCTGTGTGACCAAATAGCTTTTTCTATCCCCATAATTGAATTCCTGTGGATTTGTGGGAATTTTCGTGTCAAAAACTAGCACTCGTTCCTATTCCCCTTAGCTCTTGGACTCTCATTAATTACCCATACCAAGGGCGGATCCAGGGGGAGGATCGGGGAGGTTGCGACCACCCTGTCATGCCTGAGGTCAAATGGGCTTCCTGTGGCAAAAATGCGACTGGGATTCCTTTGCCCACAAAAYTTACCCCTGAGACCCCCCTTCAAAAAACCCTGGATCCGCCCTTGCGTACGTAAGTCACTTATCTTTATGAGCTTTTAACAAAAGCCTTATAGTACTAAATGTTAATTAGAATAAGGTTATTGTAAGTCAAAGCAATTGTTTTTCTGCCTATAGGATGATGTGTATGCAAGACTTGGACCTGAAGAAATACTTGCTGAAAAGAACAGGAAAAACGCCTCACAAATAAAGAAAAGAGATGCAACAAGAAGACTGGTTTATTTTAAGAACGGTATTCATTCTTGTATTTGAAATAGCAATATTCGTATTTACCACACTATTTGCTATTACATTACTAAGAACATGATAGGATTGGGACACTCAGCTTTGCTCTGTGTGTCTGCAACGGTTTGGTTTAGAGAACCATATATACCAACTAGAAAACATTCTCAATACAAATAGAATGATGAATAAGAGCGCTCTGTTCTGCCTGCTTCTGATAATTACACTACTATACTACTTCTATCTACTACTGATAAAGATACTACTGTAGTGTTAACGATAATAACGAGGGCGTAGCTATAGAAATCAAGGGGGCCAGGGTTCCGCCCTTCTTGGGGACAAAATGGCGGCTTTTTAGATTTAATACCGTAACGGTAATTTTAAATGTCTTTTTTTTAAAATAAAACGTAAAATGTAATTTCGGAATTTATATTTTTACATTTTTGTAAAAAAAATAAAACGTAAGGCATTTTTTCCCTCTCCTTTCTTTCGGCGTTTCGGTGACGCAAACGAAATGGCGGATTTTTAAATTTAGCTTACCCCTTCGGAAAATCCTGGTTACGCCCCTGAATGAGGATGATGACGATGTTATTCAAGTCATCTAGTCATCTTTTTTGATCTTATGAATATTAACCTTCAACAGATACAAGACGACCTCCCTGGATTGACCCAGACACCAAACCCAAAGATCTCGAGTCCGCGAGGAAGGCCATGTTTGCTCACTATAACCCGAATTATCCAACTTCATTCACCGAGCAAAGGGCTGAAAGACTTGGGCTTACCGGTAAAGGACATCAACGAGCTTTGACCGCTCCAACACGAAAAGGGGCTTGGGAACGAAGAACAAGCACCAGAAAAAGAAGCGCTTCAGTAAGTCATTAGATTACTTTATTTCCTGTCCGGTATCCTAAAAATCGTGCTTTCTGATTGGCTGTTTGAGCGGGCGGTATTTTCTCTCTCTTCCCGCGGTCCAGTATCCAATATCCGCGCGCATAGAATAATAACTGATCATTAAACAACAAAACAAATTGTAAAGCAAGTGGATATGTAAATGTGGAAAAATAAACTATTTAACGCATATCATTAAATTATCAAAAAACTGTATTTTTTCGTTAAAATACACTAAAAACAACATAAAGTACGACATTTATGTTATAATCCAAGGCCACGTATGACGCACTTATTTTCATGTGTCATCAAGTAATATCTTTCAACTATATATAAGTAATTCCGCCAACTACATAGCAGGGTGCACTGACTCTTTTGTTATACTTTTGCGCATTTATTATCTCAGATTTAAGACTTTCTTTTCCGGGGAAGAACATGTAACAATATATATCTGTAAAACTTTTGTTTGGAAGGCAGGAGGAACCAAAGAACATGGTGAAGTTGATCGGACAGAAGGGAAAGAGCCTGTCAGCTCGTCCGCACAGTTGACCCTGTCCGAGGCCCTGGCGATGGAATCTATTGGTGAGTATACATTAAAAAGATAGTACAGAAAAAAGGGCCATGATGAACACAGGCATACCAAGACTGTGGTGCATTAGCAAATTTTAGTATGAATGTGTAAAACAAACGGTAAAATATTCCATGTCATGAACGTTAGGGTTTCGTGACAGACCGTAACCGTACCCGAACGCGTTTAATGGTTGAGCTGTTGATGTGCACTGTGGTTGTTTCTGAGGATGCCTTTTAGCTCCGTACCATGATAGTACCGTGTGCCGTGCCTTGCCGTCGGCAATTTTTTTATTCTATTCCCTCTTTCACTTCCAAATTCCTCCTTGGTACTCCCCCCACATTTATGTTGAGATTTGCAATAATAATAATAATAATAATAATTATTATTATTATTATTATTATTTTAGTAAAAATACGTAGGTGATTATAGAAAATCTCGCGCGCTGATTGGTCAAGAAACTCACACTATCACACGATAATCACCTCGAGCGAAAATCCAAAATGGCGGCCATCCGCTTTGTTGCTGATACCGGGAAAAAATGCCTTTTATCTTATTTTTTTCTTCTTTTGAAAGAATCGCCTGTGTATTTATACTAAAACAATTATTTGCCTCAGCCTTAGTGAATATCGGAGAATATTCACCTCGCCCAAGGGCGCCAGGACAGACGGATTGGGTTTTACATATGTGTGATTGTTTCAGTTATTCGTAGATTTCTAATTGAATTGATATATGCTTGTTTCTAAATGGATACTAAATAGTACGCTCTGAGTATTTACCGCTGCACTCTCCGTGCCAAGCAGCGCCGGCGCCGCTTCGTTAGCGATTACTCACATTTAATAAGTTAATCAAATTTACCTTCAGTACAGTAAAATTTAGTGCAGCGGTAAATACTCAGAGCGTACGTACAGCTGATTCAAACCAGAAAGACCGTTGGTGGACGTGGTAAATATATTCATATCATACGGCTGATTCAAACCAGAAAGACCGTTGGATGGAAAGATAAGTGAACACTATTTAGTATCCATTTAGAAACAAGCATATATCAATTCAATTAGAAATCTACGAATAACTGAAACAATCAGACATATTTTAAACCCAATCCGTCTGTCCTGGCGCCCTTGCCTCGCCGCTCGAAGACTCGCGTGTTGGTAAATATTCCCCGATATTCACTTCGCCTTCGGCGAATAATTGTTAAATAACCATCATTACTAAAAATTTTCAAGAAAATCTAGATTTTTTCATCCTTTAAATATTTTAATAACTTAATACATAGTGTATTGCGTTCGTGATATTTCATTCCTTTGTCTTATTCCCTGTATTGATTTATACAGTGTTCTTTAATAGTTAGATAATACAGTGTTATAAATGTTTTTTTGCACCTAATAAATCTTTCTTAAGAAACGAATTATTGTTTCTGTCCACATAATAAATTTGATGCCGATCCTGTTGACGAGAATTATTCTGTTTATGATGATTTTTCTTATTTCATTAGAGTCACAGGAGAAAGCAGATGAGTCTTTGTCAAAAAACATGCCATCTTCGATAGTTAGAAGGCAAGTACAAAAACACGCGTAAAATAGACTTTTTACTTTCTTGAATTAAAGACAATCAGTTTTCATAAAGTATGCACGAGTATTAATGCGCAAATATATGCATTTATAAGGTTTTTTGAAAACTTAGTGGTGTGATCGTGACGTTCATGGCGTGTCCCTGCTTTCTGATAAACAGTATACATGTGCGCGCATGGCTGTGATCGGTGCAACAGATGTCTTCAATCCCGTGCCGTGTCCCCCTGAATAGGCCATTTCACGGATCCCGTTACTCAACCTCAGCCTCGTCAGCGTGTAATTATTCTTTAGAATTTGACTACAGTCCGCAGTAATGAAAGGAATTTACACATTAACGAACAATTGAAACGCTTAAAAATTTCACAGGTTGTAGTCAAATTCTAAAAAATATATTACACGCTGACAAGGCTGAGGTTGAGTAACGGGATCCCGCGTGAAATGGCCTTTTCTGATAAACAGTACACATGTGCGTGCATGACCATGATTGGTTCAACGGATGTCGTCAATGTGCAGTGACTGTACCGTAAGCGTTTCTCTGTTCGTCACAATCAGAACATCAGCGCGTCTCTTTTGTTTCCAAGTACATCCCTAGCAATGCAGTATACATATGTTCTTATTTTTAATATATTCTCTTATCCATCGCAAACATTTTCTTATTATTCCTCTGAATTTGGTCGTCTAGGAAAGACCTGACAGTTGGTTTTCACCCAAGTTTTCGTGATTCTACACTGGATTCTAGCAAGACTATTAAGGTAGGGAAACCAAGAGGTTAGCTCAGATATGTCAGTTCATATTTAGCTAGTTTACTACCTTATACATACCTCAAACACATATTTAGATAAAATATACTAGCTACTCTCACGTAGCGGATGGGCCTAAAATGGCTTCTAGCTGTTCCGAATGAATTGAAAACTTTAAACCAAAGCTGAAGGAAGTGCAGCTTGTTTAGTTGGTTAGTGTGCTTGCTATTTCAGTAATGTCTTCAACGTTTCTCTAATCCGCTAAACTTGCATTGAGTATCAAAAGAAAACGCGACGTAGTTTAATAAAAAAGCTTACAAGTTTTGAATTTCCCTAAGAAAAACGCGCTTACTTAGCGCAAAGCTCTAAACGTACAGGGTAAGGGCACAGGAAATCCAATGCACTCAAGGATTGTAGTTTTTACGAAGTCAAGTTCGTTGAAAGACCATAGTGACATATTTTATTCTATTTTCCCTTAGGATAACCGATGGGATTCTTATCCCGCAGTCCTATTCTTATCATCAGAGACCCCTGCCTGTGAGGTGAGAACGAGATACAAACATCATATAGTTGGATTTTTATTGTAGCACATTTTTCTTTCAACATCTTGCACATATTATCCCACTCATTAGCCTGTCGCTCGTTTTCTCGGAAAAATATAAAGAAGTGGTCAACGAGACTATCTTAGCACGTGCCTAAAGCGTCCACAGGGTTCCCATGGATGCTTTCTCCTGATCCTATTATTTCCATTTGCTTTAGGTGTTATTAGACGCAGTTTTACTAAGTGCAATAGCGATTCCATACCAGTATGAAGGCAGCACTCTTGAGTCTTTGGCAGAGAAACTTAGACTTGCATTAAATGGTCGTCAGGCGTCGTAAGTGCAAATGTTTGTCGTGTTACCAACCTGCGTAAACAAACTATCTTAGTTGCAGAGTTTTAAGAAAGCTTCTGTTTCGTGTACCAAAGATAATTTACTGCGCTCAGGGTGGTAATACGAGCACAATTCATTCTGCAAATTTCAACGCATCATCGTTGGGCGTTAAGTCGTACGATTTTGTGACACGTAGATTGTTACATGTACTGACCACCTTGTATTAGAGAAGGAGGGATGGACTGGTCCAAAATAGACTGAGCTAGCCACTTACACCTGAATGCAAAAATGTTTTCCGAGCAAAATTGACAAGAATAGTAGCAGGGGGAGAGAGAGGAAGGAAACAGCCAAAAATGTTTGAATGAAGTCAGATCAACAAAACTAACCAACATCCTGCCCTCTATTCTCATCGTCGTTTATTGTGCTTTATTGAATAATTGCAGAAGCATTGGGTTTTTCGCTCTTGGAGAAGCAGGACGCATTCATTTAACACAAGGTAAACTGAAGAAATAAAAAAAGGGGGAAGTTCTGAACCGAATAATAAGGCGGCAAATATTCTTTTTTTTTTCATGCATCTATATCTAACGTCTTGATTTTCACATGTATTGCTTTGCATTTTTTCGAAGATCATCTGGTATCTGACAAAAATCTCCAAGATCCCGATATGAAAGATTTCTGGGAAACCATAGCAACGAGCATTATTCCACGATTGAGGGGTGGACATCTGGATTTCTTCATACCTTTAACAGAGACCGGTGAGATTGATGATATTCTGTTGCGTAGAATAGAGCAGTTTTCGTATGACTGTGAAAAGCTCAGTGCCGTAAGCGTGACATGCCGTGACCGTGATGCTTTCTAGAATTTTAATTGGCTGATTTTTTTCACGCGCAATGTGATTGGTCTGGCATTGCCGTGACATTGGCGTGACCGTGTCCGCGACGTGTTTATGCCGTGTTCCGGGTATTTGATTGGATGGAGAGTAAATTCTTGTGCAATGTGATTGGTCTGGCGTATCCTTTGCCGTGTCATGGCCGTGGTCGTGCCGTGAATTTTTCACAGTCATACGAAAACTGCACTAAAAGAATCAAGAGTATCCGTTTTCATTAAAAGTCATTTTCACTCTGCAGAATCTGGCATGGACCTGTTAGTACRACTTGGTCTACTTACTGACATACAGATATCGTGCCCTACTTGCACGACTGGTTTGTTTTCTCAAGGTATTTTTCTTCACTTTCTTTCTGTAGTAATAGTTTTCTTCTTTCGTACCCTTGTGTTGGGATCCCTGTGGGTCAAAACAGACAGGAAGCCCGCCACAAGTATCCACACATGACAAAATCCACGTGTTATATTTCAACCCATTTGAATAAGTTTGTGTTATTGTATCTCTTTGTCTTTAGTTACGGGCGAATGGCTTTACAATGCTGAAAACATTGCACCACCATTATTGTATTTTGACACCAAGAAATTGGGCGCCTGGGCGCGCATGACCGAGTACTTGGAGGTAAGTATAAAACCTATTACACTTTTAGCCATTTCGAGGTTAAAGAAAAAACTGCTTCGAGTTGGTATCGCAGTGCATTGTGGGGCTTTTTTAAGCGACATTTTCAAGATGGCTTCGATCTTGTCCCCTAAAACAGCCCCACAATGCACTGCAATGCCAACTCTATAGTTTTCCCCTCAACCTGGGATGGTTAATACCGCTGGATAGACCACGGTCGATATCAATTTTGAATTGTTGTCAAATCAAGGCTATAGGCAAGGTACTTCATGTGTGGTATAGAAATACGATATGACAAATCCAGATACTGTTATAAATACAATGCTGATCATACATGACGTTTTTACCTGTTTGCTTTCATTTGAAAAGTTTTATTAGCCAAGGTTGAGTTGGCATTGCAGTGAACAGTGGGATCGTTTTAGGGGGCATACTTCCAAGATGGCATTTCTTCCCCTATAAAAACAGTCCCACATTGCACATGCATTACACATTTACTCAACCTCGGAATGGTCAATTAAAAGACTAGTCAGTTTATTACTCAAAAACCGTAAAATATAATACAACTTTTTCAAAAAACGTTATCGATCCTCCGAGATCTAAAATGGGCGATATAATGAAATTAAACGGAATTTTCTTTCTTTTTTTTTTTTTTTTTTTTTTTTTTTTTTTTTTTGTTTGTTTTGTTTTGTTTTTTGGCTGAAATACGAGAAATCGCACTAACCGGCTCAAAGGTCATGTCCATATTCCAATCTAAAAGGAACTACGTTGTTCGGCTGTGAATATATTACATTTTGCAGATTGTTRCTCGGTCTCAGATTTCAGATATCTCCGAAGCGACAACGTTGTTTGATAAAGATGTATACATCCTATATCTAATGATTATTCTCTTGAGTTTTGGTGGAGTTTGATAGTTTAATAGCTTGTAGTTTAATATTCTCCTGATTGTCTCTCTGCAGGAATGCTCACAAACAGTACGTGATGAACTGCTGCCTTTTTTCACGGAACAGCGTCAGATTGTTGCTTTAAAAACCATAGGTATTTACCATGTACAATGTGATGTTTAGGGGGGAGGGGTCAGTAGAAGATTTTGCTCAATCATGTGAAGGTGGCCATGGTGGATGACAAAAAGAATAAAATCTTTTCTACACGAGAAAGAATTTATTTGTGAATATTTAATTCACAAGAAAACTGGTTTGTAGTGATCTTTTCGGGCGTAATGTTTCTCCATTAGAGATCAGACAGCACGTCCAATTCCCTTGAGTATTATTTCTTTGTCATCGTCCAGCCTAAGAGTTAATTTTTCGGTGGTGCCTTGGATTAGCATTGGGTAAGCAGTAAAAAGCGCACTGTCATTGGTTCAAAAATATCGTCAATTTCGTACCGTGACTGTGCCGTTTTGCCATCTATTCTGTTTTATCGCAAATGACTTCATCCACCAACTGCGAAGCACAATTGTATCGTTTTCCAGGTGAAGTCGTTTCCAGGTCCCTGGGATTACAGTACATCGACCACTTGACTGGCGTGGCCAGAATAATGGTGCGTGCAACAGAGAAGTTGAGAGAGGAAACTACTGATTATAGAAAGGTATGACGATAGATTAGTGTGTTTTTTTCCATAAAAAATTAATAAGTCACCTTGCTACAATTTTGTGAAGTATTTCTTTTATAAAATATCGATCTCTAGTACTTTTGAAATCGTTCGTTGTTTTTCTAAGATTAATATTGTATTCAAGATTTAATGAAGCATTTTATGGTGCAATTGTAGGAAGACCTTTTGAATTGCTTAATTGAGTTTTTACAAGCTGAACGGGACGGCAAAACTACAACCAAAAAAGTACGTCGCAGAAAGGTAGGTTCGATAAACAAATAACATCACATGACTTGAGGTATGTGGTATGGTCACGTGATCGATTCTTTCCCGCCTTTTTTTTTAATGAACAGACGTAGTCTTCCTCGACCTATTGTTAGACGTCAATCAAAGCGTTTCTACGTGCCTTCCAGACTTTCAAAACTTTGTATTATCAGATACCCGTCCGGTAATGATGTATGTTCTTCGATTGACGTCCTTCAAAAGCTAATTTCTCGCGTTTTTTTTCAGTAGAATAGAGAGATAGAAATTTATTGTTTCTGTTCGTTTTTTAAGTCAACAGAGATCAGCGATGATAGCGACAATGACAGCGGTTCGAAGTCTAAAAARAGAGAAGATACTTTTATATCCACTGAGGTAGTAAGCATCCTAGAAGATGGTAGACTCCTTTTAGTCTTCTCTGTTTCGCCTAACTACATTGAATTCTTCCATTACAGTTTGGTTCAGGAAGCTTAGTATTTAATGAATCTGGTGAAAAGCGCACAATGATCGCCCAAGAGATCCTGAGAACAGAGGTGGAGTACATGGAAGAGCTTGGTATAGCACAGAAAGTATTCAGGGGTCCTTTGGAAGCAGCGTTCAGCAGCAACAGGTAACAGCAAGAAAACCCTTTTGTCTCGTATGCTTCGTCTTTCTTTATCATCAGTAGTAAATCCAGAACGTTTACTTATGACTTGCGTATGACTCTATTACAGCGGCAGATCCAGGATTTTAAAAAGAAATCGAATCCAAGGGTTCGAATTCAAGATGGCCGCCGCCAGGCATAAAAAGCTGACGCGAAACACCCCCGAATTCGCTATTGTATAATATTTAATGAGCTTCTTGCAAGTTAATGGTTTTTCATATTTGTTATTATATTATTATAAATTTAACCTCTACAATATGCCGTGCGTTGAATATCGTTTTTACTAAACCAAATCAGTATTGCTATCATTTTGATGGACGTTAATGATATTTTGTTTAGTTATTGAAATAAAGACTTTAGTAATGGGAAAACGTTCTAATATTAGGTTATCTGCTTTACCCCCCAAGACACACACAGACACTAACAGTATTTAAAAGAAACCCAACCAAGATAAGCGCATTTTACAGTGAGTTTATTCCAACTGTATTTAATGGCCCATTTCTTTTCTTAACAGGGCCATTCTCAGCTTACCAAATATCAAAGCCTTGTTTGGAGATATGGAAACATTACTAAACATCAGCAGGTGAGTCAACCTTGTGGATTCTTAGCAAATACTGATGCTTTTTGARGAATAAACGGTAGAATAGGGTCTATAACAGGCTGGAGATGTATCTTAATTTGTTAAGTACCTTTATTCATGATATTTTTGTATTTATTGAAAAATAGAAGGAACATATAGTTGGGTGTGGTGTGTCTTTTGTTGTTTTGTTATGTTATGTTTTCCCAAAAAAGTTTTGAAATGTTGATATTGTTGAATGATAGTTTAATGGTGGATGAAATATCTGCAAGACTCGAGAAGAACACCTGGAATTCACAACAGGTATTACTGATCGATGTATCGTCTCTTATAACACAAGGCGGCATTCAACTTGGCGTCACTGAAAGTTCAGTTGCCGATTAAAGACCCATTGCCACTTACCGTGATGCATCACAGTTTGTTTACATTTTGAATCGTGTCACCACTGAAAAAAACAATTCAGACCTTTTGAATAAACTCTTAAAAGAATGTACCGTGATGCATCACAGTTTGTTTACATTTTGAATCGTGTCACCACTGAAAAAACAATTCCAACCTTTTGAATGAAATCTTAAAAGAATGTACCGTGATGCATCACAGTTTGTTTACATTTTGAATCGTGTCACCACTGAAAAAACAATTCCAACCTTTTGAATGAAATCTTAAAAGAATGTACCGTGATGCATCACAGTTTGTTTACATTTTGAATCGTGTCACCACTGAAAAAACAATTCCAACCTTTTGAATGAAATCTTAAAAGAATGTAAAAGAATCATTATTGTGCCTTAGTGCTATGTCGGAAAAGGATTTAATATGAAGTTATTATTCAATATATATGAATCTTTGAATTTCATGGACCACGAAATTCATCTGTGACCGCGGTGCATCACGGTAAGTGGCAATGGGTCTTTAATGTCCACTAGCTTGGGCTTTAGTTTAGATGATTTGTTTTTAAAAACGAATAAAAAGATTTTAGCCAATAACAAGAATTGTGGGCCTATTCAACAGATTTGTTTGTTTAAATTGTAGAAAATTAGAAAAAAGTATAATATTTCTCTTCATTTACTCAGTGTCTCGGTGACATCTTCGTGCAGTTTGCAAATCAGTCACGTGCTTACACCAACTTCCTAAACAACTATCCATTGACCCTGAACACTCTCCAACGAGTAAGTACAAGTTATAAACAAAGTATTATTAAATGCACTTTGTCAGTGACAGTTGATGAGTAAGTTGGCTTCTGCTGTGGGTACTGACAGGAAGGAAGAAAGGCAGGAAGATATGGAGTCACACTCAAACTACGTATACTCTAACAATGGACCTGATTTAAGACAGCCTTGCTAAACATAGCTATTAAAGATAAATACCGTTTTTTCTTTATACGTTACGTTTGTGAAGATTAACGATTGTAACTCATTTACCGTTATTTTAGTGTAAAGAGCAGAATCCACAATTTCGCGCTTTTCTGGCGAGGCACGAAAGACAAACAGAAACGAAAATGATGAGGTAATAAAAGCACTGATACAAATATCTGTTGAGTCTAGCATATGACATTACGCYAAAAAACTGAATGCTTCTCTCTAGTTTCTCAGAGCTACTACTTCTACCAGAACAAAGACTGAAAAGGTAGGTGAAACTTAAAGGAAATCTGAYGTTGGTTTTTATTTAGAGAACCCTTGAAACAAGATGATAACTGCTCTCCCCCTTCCCCTCCCCCTCCCCCCTCACCCCCTCCCCATCACACACAGACTAAAGAATACCATAGACCATACTTGCCCATTGTAATAGTGACCTCCCTTAAAATAATATCTTGGGTCTGATTACATGGTCTCCTGGATTTAAAATATGTCAAATAGAGTTGTTAACGGGGTAATTTGAGTAGATTTCGCAATGAAAAAGTTGCGGCGGATGGTACCGTATCGTACCCTTGATGGTGCTGCATCCAAGCATTCTGATTGGATGAGCAGTAATCGCGCTAGAGTACCGTGACCGTGCCGTGTGCCCTGATTTGTTTACAGGCACTTTAAAAGACGATCGTAATTTCATCCATTAGATATGAGATATTAAGATATTTTTACAGCTATGTGGACATGCTTCAACGGTTTCTACGTCATACACCTCTTGATCACGTGGACCGTAAGAACGTCACAGACGCCATCGCCCGAATACAGGACATGTATAATATGTTTAAACAGGTAATACTGGTCTTCATGCTCAATAATCCATATAACGTTTATAAAATGATGTTTATTGATAGCCGCCCATAACGCGTTAGGACTCAAATCTGATACTATTTTGGCACGTATGACATGATTGGACGGCCTGCATTTTTATGCTGCTGTAGAATTCAAATAGATCAGAACTGGTCATTGTTTTTGTCTGGAAATCTTTCGTAAAGACAGTTTTCCATTTGGTACTCTAATRAGCAGATTCAGTCGTGCACTGCTGATTAATAAGAATTTTAGATTGAATTTTATTTCTTCGCGCAAACAGCAGACATGCACTAATTTAAAAGAAATTTTCACTGGTCAACTGACGTTCCACGTTTGCGGCAAAACGAGATTCTAAAACTCTCTAATAATATCAGTTGTCTTGTCTCGCATACGCATGCGCACTTTTTAGACAAGAGTTTCAACGATTTTGCAGCCAACTTATTACATTTTTTATCTTCACAGTACGAAGAACGACTAAACAGAGATAAACATCTACGTCAGTGGCAAAAGACAATCGCTAACTGCCCGGTATATAAGTTTATCGACTATTTATCTTATCCGTCTGGGACACTTTGGAAAATACTGATAATTGAGTAAACATTACAATCAAACGAATAGACTTTTTGATTGATATTTCCCAGTAAAAAACCCTTTTGGAGGCTAGAATATCAGGATTGGAAATGGTCCCCCTCCCCCAAAAAAATCAGTCAGTAAAGCTAGTGACTCCTTTGGATCAATGAAAGCGCGCGAGAATTTGTATTTATATTATAAAGTGTAAACAAGGTTTTGATCTTTTATCATAAGGGAATTTAACTAGACAAACCTATGATATTTACAGGAATGACATATGCATTCCTGACAAGTGATTAGTATTAGTTGTCTTTGTTATTTTAATGAAGCCCTTTTATAAATGCGTCATGTGTTTTATGGTCTAACTTAGGCAATAACAACACCATAAAAGATATGGGGAAGAAAAGATGTTTGCACTGAAGCTCGACCACACTGCTTCGTGTTTCGGCTTATATAAGAATCATTCATCGGATTTTGAGTATTCCTTTCTCTTTTTTTTAACATTAAGCTTCATTTTCTAGGTGTTGTCGGAAAAAGGACGATACCTAATTTGTACAGAGAATTTTGCCTTGCTTTCATACCCAGCTATTGGGAAAGATGTTAAACCAGAATACAGGTAAATAACTATAGTATCAGCACAAGGACGGATTCAGGGAGGAGAGCCGGGGACGTCTAGACCCCCCTCTCATACCTAAGGTTCAATTAATTGGGCGTCCCTCTCTACGTGTGGTCCCCCCGTCTCAAAAACACCTGGACTCCCGTCGCCCTTGCAGCAGGTGGAATCTCCTAGAGGTCTACACCTCCCTAACTATTCAAGATTACAATAAAGAAGATATATGTATCGATATATAGTTCGTTGTTTTACTAATCAGTCCACGGCTGCCATGTTATGAGGCAAAGCAATAGAGTATGTGCATGTTACGTCATAACCACCATCTTGGTTGACGATAACAAAACATTCCTCATTAGCTTCTCTTGTTTGATCAACCAACATGGGATTTTGAGTCGCATGATTGCACACACTGCATAGACATTTACTCCTTGGGAAATAAAATATCTTGCCATGCAAAAATATTACATTGCATCGTTATTCAGTGTTTAGCCAGCGTAGCGGCTTTTCCTCCCCAGTCCCCCGAGAGCCGCTACGCTGGCTAACTGTTCGGCTACCGTGAAACCCCTAATGTCTAGTATTGCAAATATTCACAATTTATGTACTTCGTACGATTGATCTAGTCATAGAAAACATTTTGATATTGAACAACAGGCTTTATCTTCATTGTGGGGACATTGGTCTTTTCTTGTTCAATGATTCTCTAGTGGTTGCCGTCCTCACTTATCATGATGTACCGTTCAAAAGACTCGTTCAAAGACATTACAAGTAAGTGACCAGAAAAGAAACAGCAACTGTTAGATGTTCAATGAATGAACTTTTCGCATGCACCAGTCTAAACCACCAAGACTTGTACTTAGTTTACGGCGAGAGAGTTTTTGTTGACAATTTTGATTTTTTTGAAATCCCGGCCTCAAGTCACTTTATTAACTATAAAGGATGAGACGTTGTCAAAGGTCAAACGACAAACCAACACCGTTGAATCGAGATGCAAACTAATAATTATTTATAATTACTAATAACACATTTTTWAAATGTTTTTAGATTCCAAGCTTGTGTCAGCCTAAAGCAAGTAAAAGTGCAAAATGTTGCAGATACAAAATGTAAGTTGTTGCAGGGACGTTTTCCCGCCAAAACACACACGTACGCGTTTTATCTTTCCCGCCATATCCACAGGTTCAGTAAAAGATTAACGTCTTGCGGGGGGGGGGAGTCAGTCAGCTACGCCACTGAGTTGTTGTAGAGTCTCCCTAGTCAAAGCCAGCTATCTAACGTTAAGCATGCGACACACTTCATACTCGCTACCTCTACATTTAAAGCAACATAGCTTTCATAATTCGTTGGTTAAGTACGAAGTGAGGGAAAGTACGCCTAAAGTCATTTAATCACTTTTTTTCCAGAAATGATTCAAGGTGTATAAATTTATATGTGTATATTGTCCAGTTATTTGAACCCTTATTTTATTTTTTTATTTTTTGTAAAGATCTTAAAAATGCCTTTGTTCTGCTGTCATCGACCCGCACGTGGATTTGCAAGGCCAGTTACTGGGAGCAAAAACTAAGGTTTCTTTCTGTTATAGAAAAGGCCATTGCAGGAGCCTTATGAATGATTGAACCCAATCAGAATGTTCGAAAAACGTTTTTAAAAATGCAGATTTTGTTTTTTAATTTATGAAAGATTTTCAATGTTTTTAAGGAGGATCTGGGTAGTTTTGGTCTGGCACACCTAACCGCATTGAAACGGCTACAACTTCTTCTTGAATAACTCGATCTGCAAGCGCTTTTCACACCATGTAAGGAAAGGATTCCAGAGCCTCCTTAAACTAATAATAATATAAGGACTACTATTAAAATGATAAAAATATACATTTTAAAACATTTTCAATAGTAATTATAGTAAAAAATAAGAGAAAGATGAATGAGAGACGGGACCGATATATTTTGACTCTTATATACCGTGTAATGATGAACTAACTGGCTAACTAACCGAACTCACTCTCTTAAGAAATGTATATGATACTGTCATTATTTTTATATATCCAAAAAAAAGATTGTTCCCATGCGAAAGTTTTGTACAGGGTAAGGTGCAATAAGCTGTATTTATTTAAATAGCGCAAGATACGAAACTTATATGATTATAAATTTACAGTAATAAAATAGTTCGAATTCTATGTCGTTGTCTCCGAGGTTACCAAATGCTGTTTTTTCATTGTTTTCGGGGCTCTGTTTTTTCTCGTTGTGCAGTCAAAATGCACGCGGTGCCGATCACGTGACGAAGGACTTGAAAACCCCCGTCCACATTTCTCGCATGTGTAAGGTTTTGCTCCAGTATGCATGTTAATGTGAAACTTGAGCTCGTATGACTGTGCGAAAGCCTTTCCACAGTATTGACACACACATGGCTTTTCTTTGGTATGTGTTCGTCGCACGTGACTGTCATGTGCCGCGTGAGAGGCGAATGCTTTTCCACAGTGGCCGCACTTGAATGGCTTTTCTCCGCTATGCTGACGAATGTGGGTACGCAAGATGGACGAAGCCGTGAACGCCTTTTCACAGAATGGACACTTGTAAGGTCTTTCACCACTGTGCACGCGCATGTGTTTGTTGAGGCTGGAAGACTGCGAGAAACGTTTTGTGCACACGTTACACTGGTGTGGCCGGTATTTCTGGTGGACGTGTAACACGTGAATGCGTAATCTGTCACGCTTCTCGAAGGATCTGTCACACAACGAACAGGGAAATTTTCTGTCACCGTTGTCTATACATCTTGTGTACTTTAGATGCTTGTCACGATAGTATTGATAAGCAAAAACTTTCCCACATTGCTGGCATGAAAATCCACAGTCAGTTTCTGCAAAACCCAAAAAGTTGATAATTAGAAAAACAATCTTAGCTTGTAAGTAAATTATTAGGGGTGTAGAAGGGGAAGGCGTCACATGCATTTCCCTAATCCTACTCTTATGTTGGCGCACGCAGCTACCCCAATTACTAACATCATTTCCAAAAACCAATCTCTTGTCATTCAAAAACCTATCGATACTTGGGTGAATGATGAAGTTACCCGCGCACGGACCATCTGTCAACACATCGCCATTATTATTATTATTATCAATAACAGAATATAAAGTTTCCTTTCTTTGAAATAAGATACTCCGTTTGAATTATTTAGCTTTTTTTAATGTGTTTTTTGCTGTTGTTGCCAATAAAAAAAATTTATATCTGAGGATCTGAGGTAGCTAGATGCATTAGGCATTTGGCCCAAATAAAGTACCACTCAATGTCTGGCACGATTCATAAACAATGCGTATTATCGCGATTTCTAACGAGCTGGGCCAGTTAAGTTGCGTTTGCCATCCGACTTTCAAGTGGCTCGGATGACCACTTAAAATGGCGGTCCCGTTTCTCCATACTTCATCATTACTAAACAATTTTGTAGGGACGTAAAAGAACCGCTCAGGACTAAAATAAACCTTGGCAATGACCACCCTCAGTGCCTACACCTCATACTAACCACCTTTCTTTCATAACTCCTTGTAAAGCGCCTTTGATCATATCCATATGGGAAAGAGCGCTAGGCCTTGCCTACCCGACAAGCTCCCTACCCGACAAGCTCCCTACCCGACAAGCTCCCTACCCGACAAGCTCCCTACCCGGCAAGCTCCCTACCCGGCAAGCTCCCTAACCGACAAGCTCCCTAACCGGCAAGCTCCCCACCCGGCAAGTTTCTTACCCATCAAGCTCTATACGTATCATCCGTGTAAAGCTTTGAACTGCTTTGTAACCTGCCGCATGCTACTATAACACTTACGTTCAAGAGTTGTTTTATTTGGCTCCATTCCTTCTTTTCTGAGTGCCATCGGTACACCCATGAACATTTCATAGTTGCGGCCATACCACACCATCAGTTCATCTCCCTTGTATATGTTTTTGGTTGCTTCATAGTAAATCTCTCGTCCTTGTTGAACAACAGACATGTTTTGCTCTACCTCTGATATAGCACTGTTAACAAACTTCATCCAGTTTCTCGACTCTTCCGACCCGTCTATAAAATACGATATGGCGTCCTCACTAGAGTAAACCTAAACAAAACAAAACATTCAAAAGCTACGATACAAAAAACCATAACTGCACTGATCAAAGCAACCAATTAAATTAAATTAGGACTTCTGTACAAAGTCAAAAACAAAATACCCTTGATCTTGAATAGGCTCTGGAACTTTTTGGAACTAGACCAGACTCGTACCCAGTCGTCATTTATTTCAGGCTTTCTTACGCGCGGTGGCTTTTGGCTTTTTTCTTCCGTCCTTCCCCTGATGCACCGGGAACTCACTAAATCCTTCCCATCAACCACAGCGTGAGATCAATAACACAAAAGAAGCGACTGGGTACGAGTCTGGAACTAGACTAAAACTAACTTGGTGGCTTCATTTGTTTACCGGCAATCTTCCTCAATCCAGCAAGGACGCCGCATTATTAATAATATATATATGTATGTGAAATGTTTCAATATCGTAAATTATGCAAAAATAGCTGACAGCATTCTTGATAATAATGCAGCGTGTCGTATTAATTTGCTCTCAGCAAATTATGGTACAGATAGAAATGAATAAGCCGGGGCATTGAATGGAAGTTATTGCGCGACTAATGGTTCCAATGCGCCGCCACCCGCACTGTTTTTCTGTCTTCGGAACTCTCCCTAGCTTTGAGGATTTTTTCTCCTTTATCAATTTTTTGTCGAAATTTAAGGATTTACCTCCCACATGTGTGGATTGTCCTGTCCCCTGATGACGTCTTGTGGAAACACGACTTTACCAGTGAATGGTCCAAACCGTGTACCACGTGGTATCATGGAATGCGTGCAGAAGACTCCCGTCATGGCTATGCCATCATTACACTCTTTAGTCAGGACCTGAATTCCTCCAGGAACAGTGTTGTCGTTAAACAAAGGTAGTGAAGTATCCACTGCTCGTGAATCATAAGCAGCTAGCAAGATTAAAAATATTRAACGAAGGTTAGTATTAATATTAGAAGATCGAAGAGAAGAAAAGAAAGAAAGATAGAAAGAAAAAAGAAATGATTAAAGATCTTGAATAATGGAAGAAAAAAGGAAACAAAGAAGAAGGGGAGCGAGGAAGGAAGGAAGGGAAAAATAAAGGAAGAATATGAGAAATGAAAATATGAATGAGTAAGTTCATTGAGTTAGTTTTTTTTCCGAATCTTCATTATTTTTAAAATATATATGGCAAACAGTTCGAAACGTGAAGACAATTTTTCCATAATACTCTTTCTCGAAAAGRACATTGATTCTTTTCGAGCAAAGAACAAAACTTAGACAAAAATAGAAACGAAAAAAAGAGAAGAAAGCGAAGCCAAATGAAAATGTAGGAGGACAGAAAAGCAAGAAAGCTGACAAGAAAAGCTCTTGACTTTATGTTATGATTTGAATGAATGTGACAGTGCGCAGGTTATAAACATTTAGCACACTTCTGCTATTCTAATAGAAGTAACCATTAAATCTTTCCAAATAATATTTTCTTTTGTTTATCTTAGGAATTCCTAGCCCTCAAGCATTCAATTATAGGCTCTTATGAGGTTTTTAGCTTTCATATCAGTCGATTGTCATGCTACTTTTATTAAGTATACCTTCAAAACTTTACGTCTGAGTAGTAAATAGCCCATTAAAGGCAAAAAAGTAACTTGTACTCACACAAAACGAAATGTGCTGGCAACAATAGGTGCATAAAATGTACGAGCTACTATAAGTTAACAGTATTCAATTTTCACCTAGCGAGGGCCACTTTTTTCCCAAAAAGACAATRCAACCTTATAAACTTATTAGCTACACTAGCTTCAGGATATTTACCATAATAAGAAGTGTAAATGAGTTCTAACTGTTACTTCCTGGTAGTGATGTGTTAATAGATTAAATTGACGCTAATTATTCGTTGGATTTCAATTAAATATGAGTAGTTTACGTGGTGATGGGTTTATTTCAACTTCGTCTACTCTAGTCTGTAGAGCATTAAAAACAAAGCTTCTTTTCCACCTGCTTCGGTAATGATATACAATCTCACTGGGGTGGGTCGTTTGCTTTTATTTTAACAATATGAACATGTGCTCTCAGGTTACTCACTATTGAAATTCGAATTTTAGCATTTCCAATTCGTTCTTAACTTTTTCATTCGATTTTCGATTTCTCGTCTCTGAAAATAGCTCTTGACTCATATCTTTGGCGTAAAGTTTATTCATTCCAAAAGCCTTGTAAATAAGAATCTTTAGGTGCAGTGAAGGTGCAATAATGTTGAAATACCGTTTTAAGTCAAAGGAATAACACTCAAGGGGAAGAAACCCCGCGTTTGAAATGGAAAACATTATCCTCTTCATGTACGTAGTAAATGATTTATTGCTGTTGCAACATACTTTAGAAAAGGACAAAGATCTAAATGGCAAGATGTATGTAGCCTGAGGCATTCTTAAGGCCGGTTTAGACGGTACGATTTTCGCCTACAACTATCGTATACAACACGCTCGCGCCATCCTACAACTCGAGTCGTAGCGTGTAAATCAAGCCTACAACTCGCCTACGACAGACGCGAGTTGTTGTATACGATAGTTGTAGGCGAAAATCGTACCGTCTAAACCGGCCTTTACTAATTACTTGAAAGGGTTTTAAAAGGGGTCTATTCATATAGTGGTTTCAAAACTTTCGATACACCYCCCTCAAGAAGTCCTAATGAATCATTTTCGTTTCGCAATTAAAAATATGCTTTGACAACACTCTGAAATCACACGAGGAAAAGTTGACTTAGATGAGATCTATTATTCATTGGAATCATATGAAAGCGTCTTAAGAACTAAGGCTAAAGACTMCTACAAAATATGATACTCATGAACCATTGTTATACTTTGTAGCTGATGGTAAAACAAGCACGACCTTTCAAGGGTAGAAAGAGAAGTAACTTGTGCATAATTTATAGCAGGGATTTATAAAGTAGATATGTAAGAACAAGGGAAAACATCCATAGTCTTATTTAGTTGTTTCTTTGTGCCTTTTAACTATATGAGATGAAAAAACGCCTGAATACAATGAGAAGAGGTTTCTGCGAGACGCCATCATGCCTAAGTTGTAATCAATCCTGTCAAATGCGCTGCATACCTAGTCGTTCTCCTTTTTTTCCCCGCCAGGCTTTTTTTTGTCGGTTTTAGATTTAAAAGAAAAATTCTTTAGTGTTTTTAAACTTAAAGAAGCTTTTGGCTGATCAAAGTCAGGACACGGCTACTCACAGAATTCGGGACTTAGTTAGGGGATCAATTTTACGAAGGAAGGGAACCCGAGAATTCGAAGAACTGAAGAAAACGAAGAGATCTGCTCAAATGCCATGACTTTATGATTTGGCCTTTTTACGGTTTTAGCTTTTGTTCGTTTTTAAACAGATTATTTTACTTTGGACGTTGACCCATTTCAAACCCCTTAGCAATAGTGTTTCAGTTTTAGTCTTAAATAACGGATATAAATACTTCTGATGCGTTGTTTATAAGAAAATAATACTCAAAGGTATCACATGCGGTTTGAAATAAAAAATACATTGCTGGATAAACAAACTTTGTGAAAGAACTGATTGCGTTGATGAATAAAAATATTCATTTTATACTCGCGTTTTTTYCCCGACATTACGTCATGTTATAACTTAAGGTATCTACAGCTTAGAAAGGCTCCAATAAAGTCGATCATCTTAGGGGGTCCTAATACTCGACTCTAATAAGAGCCTAGAAGTATTCCTGAAGTGTATTTCATTCATTTTATGTATAAATAACAGCAAGAGGTAGCTAAATATATTGGGCGCCTGCTGAGCAAGTTGTCTGCCCAAATGGTCTGTTGTTGCATAGGTATCATGGTGGAGGAGGTAATAAACTTTATCAATAACCATGAAATTGATATTAAAGAAAACTCGAGACTGAAAAAACTCGGCAAACAAAGCTGACGCACAGAGCTTGTACTTTTAGGTAAAATAACCATGATAATAAATGATCATGTGAATAAGAATATGGAGAGAAAGGAATGGAAAAGGAAAGGAAGGGAAAGTAAAGAAAGAAAGAAAGAAAGAAAACCTAAAGAAAGAAAGAAAGAAAGAAAGAAAACCTAAAGAAAGAAAGAAAGCCGGAAGAAAGGAAGAAAAAGCGATAGGTAAACTTGAAGGATAGGACTGAAATAGAAAAGAAATATATTTAAAACATATATGAGAAAACTCTTCATTTCGAAAACATAAAATGAAGTGACTTATTGAAAGCCGGCTTAAGCAAAGGCTGATATTTAGCTCCTTCCACCGGCAGCATACTGGTTTAAAGAAAGTCGACGATTTGCTCAATAGAATTAGCTATTGTCGTTGTCGTTGCTGTTGCTGTTTTGGTAAAAATCGATACATTCTTTTTCTACTGACTTACAGTATAGAACCAAACGTAAATACTGCATGTTTTACTGGAATTGAACTCTCTAGCTTTCTCCCTGTCTCTCCTCGCACCATGATACGTGGGTGTACACTGAACACAGTCTTTTAGTCTAGATACCTGTACTGTTTATTCTAAAATCATCCCAACGGTTAGTTAAATAGATTATTTCATTCGAGCGCTGATTTTACGAGTTATGATGGTTAATCTTAGAGTCAAAATGAACAGAGGTTCTTTTGACAGGAATTTTCCAGTCAAGTTTGAAAAATCCTAAGACAAAAGCCATGCAGAACTGTAAATAAAKGGTTTAAACAAATCTGGTATTTGAATGTAAACAAGGTGTAAAATAGGTGCCAAAGATAGCTGGGTTTGTTTGGAGACTGTTTGTCAATGGTTTATCAGCGAACGGAAAGAAGTGTAGTAACAGTGTTTCCTAACTTTTGGGGCCTTTCCGACACTTAGAGAGACATTTTTTCTAATTTCCTTTGCGATAGCATCTCTTTTTCTGTAAGACAAAGAATCCTAAAAGAGATAAGCTGTTAGAGAATACGCTAGCAAGGAAATTACAATTGTATTGCTTTGACCAAATCTTTACCAAATCACTAACCTCGCTTTTAAAACATCTTCTCATTATAGCCAGCCGGTCCAAAACGTCGTCTTGTTTTCAGTTTCAATTATACTCAATGTATAAGTTCTTGACTTTAGATACATTTTAAAGTATTGCTGAAACCTATGTTTAATCGTTCGATGATTGAAAGTTTAAGACTGAGCTGAAAAATTCAGCAGAAAGTTTGTCTTCATAGTTTTTAGCATTCATGAAGAGAGACGATAGTGATTTTAGTCGCCTTCGCACTCACAAGGATCTTACCGCCAAAAATAAGTATGAATTCCTCTAAAAAATGAAGGTCAGTACAGAGCTAGGATTCATACATTGTGCTTTTTTTAACTGTATCGTTTGTTTTCCAGTTTTGATCCAAATTTTCAAGAAGATAATCACTCAGTTATGGAATCATATAAAGTTACAGACTTTATCATAAACACTATCTCGCGTAATCAATATGAAAAAAGGCCTCGCCTAATCGAGCTTTTTCCTTTTCTTTTCCAAGGCGTATCTTCGTAGAAACTTTCATCTAAAGAATGATAGCAGTAATTTCGTAATTAACTGCATTTTTTATTCACTCCTAAGTCGTTATAATTTTCGTTAGGTTTGGAGTGTAGCCTTTCGGAAACGAGCTTGTCGTTGGACTATGGTTGGGATTGTTCATTTCTATATTTGTATTATTTAATATAATATTTTCTTCTCGCAGAGCCCTGGATAATGAATAATCTAGCGTATGAATGTGCATTATTTGTCATTAAAGGTGGTCGAAATACTACTTTAGAAAATTTCTCTCCTTATCATTAATTTTATCTATGAAACAAATGCGAGCCAACTGCCTACGAAGACAACTTTCTTTTATATTCACTATCGACTTTTTACGCATTCGTTTCCTTTTCATTAACAAATATATGATTTTCCGCTTGCTTTAAGCACGTTGACGCCTTCCTAGATACAGTTTTTCACTCGTAAAATCACGACTTCCTTTAGAGTTGGTTATGGGTCAGCTAGTTTCTCGTTTTGTTTTCAAAGTTTAACCCACGATGATACAATATCGCTCTCGTGAAAACCCGTACTTGCTTACTTATGATGATATAAAATAACAGTTCAATTCCGTTCCTTTGGGCTTTAACTTAGCCACTAAATGAGAAGCTATAATCGGGATCTTAATCCCGTTAAACAACCTGGTTAACTTTTATCTTTCATTCCCATTTTTTTCTTCACTTCTTATTTTCGCCTTCACAAAAAGACCCGTCCTTTTACCAGTAAAAAAAATTAACTTCATAAAATTTTGCCAAGATTACCTGTGTTTGCCATTATTTCAGAATGCTTCAGGATTCTCCTCTTCGCTTTTACGATGACTAGGTGGTTTCTTAGTTGACTATAACGAAGTTGTTGTTGGCGAGTTGAGTTGAAATGATTTGTTCTGATAGATGGGATATTTGACTCATTAGAAGTAGTCTACTAGAGAGTAATTATTGGTAATGATACATAATTGAAAATTAATCAGCGTAAAGGCTATTATTCATTAGACACTGTAATAAAGTTGGGTAGTCATTTTACATCCATACAGGTGGGCTTTTTGATCAAATGATTGCAATCTTGTCACAAATCATTCAAGTGGAATGAACGAATGATGTCGACCAAGCCAGCGAAAATGGCACATGTCAAAGATATAACTTTTCGGCGATTTCCTATCTATATATTTCTGAAAAATTACCAGAAACATTCTGACGAGAAGAGATAGAAATCGTCTACCTAAAGTAGTAATTTTCACATCTTTAGGGGCGGACACTTGAGATTTCAGCCTTAAGGCTCGGCTCATTTCAAATATTTAATCTTTCGAAGGGCTCTTAGAATATTTTAACGTGTCGCTCTCCGTTAGAGAGTATAACTTGTCAAAGGCATCTATCTACCTATCAATGTAACGAAGCGTTTTAATACTTAATACAAGACATTTCAATCTCCCTTGTACTTTAATCGAAGCGTGCTTTGTACTAGTTGTAGCTGGCGGTAGTATTCTAAATGYCTTGCTAATAAGGTACTCTACAGTATTTCACTTAGTAGCGAATCAGTGACCAATGAGAGTTAAAGAAGGCTTCTTAGACCGCCTTTTCTTCCGAGTTCTATCGAAACGTTAGTATCATAGCAGTCTTTTCGAGTGAGAGTCATAGTTGTTGTTTTTTACCATTCATCCACCTGCTCTCTAGGGAAAACTTCGGTTTCTTTTAGGTTAGCTGCATATTGAACAAACACAAGATGACTTTATGAATGTTTTACTCCGTTGAGTCATTAAAGCGTGTTCAAGTGTTTGTCCTTAAGGAAAAGCTCCCGTCGAGAGCCTAGTTTAAACATTCTGTAACACTTCAAAGGGAACTATATAGTAGTCTCCTTTGAATTTAACACCCTTTACTTAATCGTTCTGAAAGTTGTTTGCGCTTTTCAAATATCTAGCTTCCCAAATCTAGTTTTGACTGTTTTTTCTGTGTGTTTTTTTAAAAACTTATAAACAAAGTAGCCAAACGAAATGTGCTTGGGTATAGTAAGTAATAAATGGTCCTTTGCTCAGTATCGTAAAAACTACAAAATGTAACCGATTTGGGATTAAAAATTWAAGGTAGTTTTATTAATTGAACAGTTTGACTACTTCTAGCACGCTGAGCTCTCAGAGGAAAAATCAAACTCCACTATTATGTTACAGCGAATTTTTTTCTTTTTTTCTGCAAATACTCTCTGTCTACTAAGAACTTTGTCGGCTACCGCCTAGCTTGCGAACTTTTCTGTTAAACTATGAGCCCATAAGGAGAAAACCCGGAAAGATAAGCCTAACGACCAGTTTATCAAATCGAAGTGATTTGTGATCAGCAACAGCTCTCTCTCTGCATGAGGTAGTTTAACTTTTCACCAGCCAGATATTAATCCCAATATCGATTCACGCTTAAGGCGATAGGCAGTTAATTTTACAACTCTTAAAGAGCCATTCAAGATTAGACCAGTAGTTAGGTCATATTAAAAAGCGCCATAGTTAAACTTATTCTTCAGAAATAGACTTAAGAGGTCGTCGTGCTAAATAAATCCAAATGAACAAATCTTGCAAGTGTTCTCGCCCGAGGCTATATATACAGCGCTAGCCAATCTTTAAATGCGGAATCTTACGGTAAATTACACTAACACTATTTACGAGAACGCAGCTGGTACGGTACGATATACCTTCATAGAGATTTGCCGAGGAGTTCTACTATGACTTTTACTAGTCTAACTGTTCGTTTTCTTTGATATTTTCTTGGCTGTTTTGTTCTTTTACAGTTACAGCATAAAAAATGTCGAAAAAGATCAGTAAAATGCTTGTAGACTAGTCATCGAGAGTACGAAGAATTGAATTTCCAAGACATTTTCTTTCAAACTGATTYAAAAGATTCACGAACATGATTCACTATAATGTACTCTTTGCTGATTGGTCCATTCTGATTGAAACTTGTCTGTCTTATTAAAGCGCGCGCGTTCACACGCCTGCTTCTTAAAGGCTCCAGTAATCAACTGTGAGGTATACCTAATCGAATTTTCTCTTAATATGCCAATAGCTGTTATCATGACAATTATTATCGTCAAGAATGTGTGTAATGGGATATTTCTCCTTTTAAATCGTTTATCATCTCACTTTTTCTCCTTTTATTTATTTATTTACTTCCGGTTAAGGTTAGTGCTTTAGCAGTGGGGATTGAAGTAGTTGGTTGCTCGAACTTCAGTAGAACTTTCTGTAGCTAGAATAATTCAAAAAAGCTAGCCAAGTTATCATTTTCGAAAAAGTAGAAAGGTGCACAGTTCAACTATTTACTCGTCTAGTTTTCTCATCACATCCGGACAAAAAGCCAATACCACAGAACGTTCCTTTACATCGGTATTATAAAAATAAATAGGATTTAACATGTGGCATTTCCACAGAGTTGCTTAGTCATCCACTGAAATTATTAATATATTAAAGATGTATGTACCGACGAGCGGTCAACCCTGCTAGTATATCAATAAATACAGACAAAGATATGTTCAACCACGTGATGGTTTATTTTCTAATGCTGAAGAACCCATAATGACTTTACCCAGTCAAAAATATCCCCGAATAATATGGCCACATGATTAAACAACCTGGGATTCCCTTTTTTTAGTTAAATGCAATGATGCATATCGATTTTCGTTGCATTAAGTAGGCTTTTTTGGTTTTGTAGCTTGATCCTGAAATGCCGGGGAGTCCTGAAAAAGGAGCAAAAACATATGAAAAAAGATAATGCAGAAAAATTCGTTTTTCTTTTCCTTCTTGCATTACTTTCATTTCTTCCTCCTTTTCTTCCTTTTTTCTATAATGCTGCTTTATGTATATATTTTTTGGTTTTTTCAATCTTGGTTTCTTTGTGGTTTTTTTTCCCCTGATACATGAAATTGACCTCTGTTATATATTCATCTTTATAAAATATTTGCAATATAGCGCTGATTGGCTGGCTACCGTGGTTATATCAGACACACTCGCGCAAAGTCGCCCAAAATATTCTATAAAAGCAATATAAAAAGGCTGCTTATGTGTCTCTGTATTGTGATAATAACACTCTGGGAGCTGTAGAGCACTGGAAAAGCAAGAGTTCTTCTACTGAATCCAAGCAACGAACAAGCGACTTTAGTTAGTTCAGGAAATGATCTTGGATTGTAATGATTACAAAGGGAGTATGATCTTTCCACTGTGTGCAGGCCCCATGCTCGCCATCCTTACTTCTGGCTGTCAGTCAGTAACAGGCCTTAGTTAGTACCGTACTTGTAATTCTTCAAATTCCCTACCTGATTTATTATTTTGAAGCTGACTGTGCTGGAACTGGACAAACCCATCTATTACGTGCAGTCTGTCAATAAATAAAAAAATAATTTTTAGCGTTTTTAGGATGCCTACTAGCCTCCTTTGCAGCCGTTCTTAGGGTCGTCACGCAACATAAACGTTGCGTGACGACCCTAAGAACGGCTGCAAAGGAGGCTAGATGCCTACTGACTCGGAATAGGTTCGATGGACAGCGGAGGAGACGTAATGCATATTCATCGGGATGTATCAAATCTACTACTTCACAATGAAAACGTGTTATTTTGACTTACGCCCCGAGCCAATCGCATTCGGCATCTTGAAATTCGGCAAGAAGTTTGACGTAGGCAGACTTGAACGCTGTAACGATGACGACGACAACGCTGTCCAAGACGGGAAAAAATAAACAAATAAAAACATAGATATTATTATTTTAAAATTATTCAAAAACACAATACAAACAGTGATCCTGATACAATCTGATAACTGTCGCTCGAATTCCAGTTACTTTTAGTTGTATAGCCAATCTTATTTCTTATTCAAATGCATGAATTTTGATAATAATGTTAATGATGTTAACAATAGTAATAATGATGATGATATTAACGAAAATGATAATGATAATAATAATAATAATAATAATAATAATAATTCTTCGATTGCACGTTACGTCATCGCGGCCATGTTGGTGCCATTTAACAAAAGATTTCTCATTAGCATCCATTGTTAACGGCACCACAATGGCCGCCATGTCTTTGTCTTTTGACTCTCTTGGGAATGCTTGCAACCCATCAATAATAATAATAATAATAATAATGATGATAATAATAAATGATGGTGGTGGTGGTGATGATAATGATGATACAAGCTGAGCACTAGTTAGGACAAAGCCGTTTGTATGAATTACTGCTCCGTTGAATGTCAAGATAATTGGATTATAAGAGCAGACAACAGAATAACTCAAAAGGCCTTTCTTACCTACCCCCTCTGTTTCTTAGGTTTTCAGTCGAACTTTGATGTACCTTAGTACCTTAGCTAGTACACTACTTAAATAATCAATAAATGATTATTTATCACTAGTATATTTTTACACAAGTGAATATGATAAATCCGGCTCTCTCATTGGTCACAATTTACGTCTTATGCTACTATATTCACCTACAGGTGGATATAACTCGCGCACGCGCACGCTCGTTTGTCGATTTGTGCCGCTTGAAGAGATAATTGAAATTTGAAAAGACAAAGACTCCCTCTCCGTTATTTATTAAATTCACTTGTGTTCAATAATACTAAAACAATTATTATGATGATTTGATTTATACCTGCCCTGTGAGCAGAGTCTCCCTCCTCTACGTAGATAGAGGAGGTAAAAGAAGACTATGCTCGCAGGGTAATTTATACCTTGTAAAGCCAATACTGTATATTATTGCAGCAGGTCAATGTGCAATACCGGTATTTCCTATATATCTGTCCAAAAAGAAATAAGAAGAACAAATAAACAGCTAATAAATACAAAATACTAATAAATGTCGTAGGTAGGCAGGTAGGCAGGTAGGCAGGTAGGCAGGTAGGCAGGTAGGCAGGTAGGCAG